CTCGCGCAGTTCTTCCTTCTCTTGGCGTACCAAGGCCATTTCTGCCAGCGTTGTCTCGTGTCTTGCTGCATAATCTGCCTCTAACCTTGCCATTCTTGCAAGAACAGAAGAATCGCCATTTGCCTCAAGAGCCTGCCCAACGAGTGCTTCCAACTGTTCTATCCTTTGACGCAGTTCCGCATTTGTGCCACCAGCCATGTTCTCAAATAGCCCTACGAATTCTGCCACCGATCGTCTTGCCACTGCCACGAACTTGCCTGGCTCTGATACTAGTTGTCACGGGGGCGATTTTAGTCAGTCAAAACTCACACCCGCGCGGCAGTCAAGTCGTACACTTAACTCAGCCTTTCCCAAATACTTAGCCAATTTTCGGCAAGTTTGGCCTTAAACGAAATTTAGACAGCAATTCAATAAAGAACACACACATATACGGGAAAATCCCAACCTTTGCATTAATGTGGAAAATATACAAAGGACCCTCACTTTGCTATGAACACAGTCCGCTCACAGCCCACTTTTGACAAAGAACACAAGTCGTTCTTGTCAACACTAAGATCTGCCCAAGCCAAACCTTAGCCCCTTTTTGAAACAACTGAAACCCTCACGTTTCACTCTTGTTTCCCACTTAGAATTTCACACGAAATTCCCCACATTCACTCTCTCACTTCTGCCTAAGTCACAAAGGCCCTATTTATAGAATATAGGCAGCCCTTAGACTTGGCAGCACATGACATTTGTTGTCTACAGCTTTTGCCACTTGTCGGACTAAGACTAATCTTCTCCTAACATGTAGTTGACATCCCCAACTACTTAGGACACATTATACACGAAATGGGGACATTATACAAGCATGATCAGATCATGGGACAAAGAGGTTATGACAAGGTAACCGCCAACTACTTTCCATGTGCATTGCATGTGCCATTTTCACTTGGCCAGCTGATTCGCGCCCAAGGCTGGCATTGCGCCCAGCCTTGGCACATCTTGACATTGCTCCCGCGCCAATGCCTTGCCCGCATCCGCTGCCTGTGATTTTGCCGCACATGCCCGACGCCGCTGCCGCCCGCACACTGTCTTGGCCCAAATCTGCCTTGCTCATGTCAACCTTCATTTCCCTCGTGCCATTGCTTGTATTTTCCTTCACATAGCTTTGCCTTAGCTATTGAAAGCCTTTTCCATCATCCCGCATTTCCGTCTTGTCTTAGCTTAGCCCGCACTTAGCTGCCACAACCCAAAGTGCCATGCCCCTGACTTTGGCGCGCATGCCGTGCCATGCCGCCCTAACATTGCCCACACAGCTTTGTCAAGCCTTTGCCAAGCGCACCTTGCCTGTCCCAAGGTCTTGGCCCATACTTGCCTACAACAGCCCTCAATGACAATGTCTTGTCCGTCTTCCGCATGATCGTTTTGCCCGCTCATAGGCCAATGACAAGGCCATCACGCCCAAATCCTTGCCACAGCCGTGCCACGCCCGATGACAAAAAGTCAGGCCCTAACAGTAGGGGTCAACCCAAACCCCCCAACATCCAAGACACTCCAACCTGGGTGATGGCTTAAGATTTTTTTTTAAAAAAAAAATCTCCTTTCTTGCTTTCTCAAGCCTATCATCAGCGAATTAAATCGAGTTCAATCGCTTAAACAGTGATGCAGGTAGCGAATGCAAATACATAACCGATTATTTAGAAACAATAAACTATAAAATTCAAAGATCCGCTCACTTTCCAAAAATACTTAAATATATATTCATGTCAAGTATATACATCTACTTTGTCAGACACTCCATAATCACAGTTCTTGATTGATTATAAAGTTGTTTGTTATATTAGAAAAATTAAAGCATTCAGCCGCTATCAAACCTTGAACTCCCAATATCTTCACTCGCTGTAAAATGGAGGAAAAGGGTACAACCAGCCACAAAAAGAAAAAGGGGAAGAAATAAATAAAAACTGTCACCTCAATATCTGATTTGGTTATTTGTTTTCTACCTTTGCGAAGAACTAAAGAAATGGGAGATACATGCCAAACAAGTTATCAATAATTTATTCAGACAGTTGACCTGAGCCAGACCAATTGAGCCAAAATCAGATCATGTAATAGTTTCAAGATTTTCGTCCCAAATTAATACAGCAAATTTTAATCTTGTAACAGGTTTTAAAGCAACTAATTAATAATTCTTTAACACAGGAAAACCATTTCACTCGACAAATCGCAGATGAGAAGAAGATTGTCTATGCAAGATGCATGCATCCTATTAACCTCTGCAATCTACAATATCACATCAATCTCTTTCATTAGTAGCAATATGTGATACCTATATTCACACATTTATTTCATAACCATCGCTATTATAAGTACACTAAGCACTAAATATCCATCATATTTCTGTTCTTAATAAAAATAACCACATCAGTTTCTATTTAGTTTGAAGCTGGAGAACAAATAACACTATGCAATACACCCCGCCCTTAGACCTCTTCTGAATATTCGATGATTCTTTTATTTATTGACTATAAGTAGGAATGTGACTATTAAGCTTGCATCATTTATCAAACAACGAAAGAATAACATATCAAAAAAGTTTGCAGCTATGGAAAAGTTTATCTATTAAGATATGGAAACGATAGCCTGTAAAAGCGTGTGTTTACCGCAAAACCATTAAGAATTTTATCAAACCAAGCATCTTGTAGCTGCCTCTTAGCACCATCAAAAAGAAGACTAACAATCATGCATATCAAACAAAATCCAGATTCTCATGTCTTTTCCACCTATATTGCTTTCTCAAGAGTCAAGACAATGATGCGCTCAAATCAACTTCAGTGGCTCAACACATATACGCATATCAATTAATTGGAAGCAAAATTTTGGGTGATAAAGAGAGATTTTCCAACAGTTAGTCGATAACACTAGCCTTCCCCGTCCCCAATCTGACTTGCATCCATTCCCATGCACGGCTCCACTGTTATCCAACAACAAAAAAACAAAAAAGCAGTAAACTATTCTTGCATAACATCTAAATGTCAACAACCACAGAAATAATAAAAGATGAATTAATCAAAGACAAAGGGTTATTTAATCAGAGGCAACTTACTTTCATGTTAATAGATTTTGTTAAGGAAATAAGTTCAATATTTATCCACCAACCATACAGGTCCTTTACCAACCCATTGATACAATCAATATTCATAGACTAGAATTTAGTTAGTCGACGTTGAGACGCCAATTTATATGACATGCTGACTAGCTGATAATAGGACATTAGTCTTTGATATATAAGGTTAAGGGCAGCCCGGTGCCTAAGCTCCCGCTATGCGCGGGTCCGGGGAAGGGCCGGACCACAAGGGTCTATTGTACGCAACAGTACCCCGCGTTTCTGCAAGAGGCTGTTTCCACGACTCGAACTCGTGACCTCCTGGTCACATGACAGCAACTTTACCAGTTACGCCAAGGCTCCCCTTCTCCTTTGATATATAAGGTTAATACACTATATTACCTTAGAAAGAACAGAGCTAAACATGGGAAGAATAATGATGCTATTAATCAAGGGGATAAATTTTTCGCATTCAATGTTTAATTAGGATCCCCTCATCATCATGAAACGATTTCTACGTAAAACAATTATCATATTAATCATAAAATAATTCTGACATTAATGTATCTCCAATATCATTTCAGATGGAATAATTCAAGTAAAGGAGTTGAAATGTTTCCTAGAGACCACAAGAAAACTCCACAAATGATAAACAGTGTTTTCTTTGCTTTCAAAAAAGTTATACTAATTTATTCTAAGAGATAAAATGTTAAATGCTACAGATGATGAAGCAACCATAAACAGCATGAAAAAAGCCTAAATCCAGCATTTAGAAAACATTATGCCGCCTATTGACTTCCAAAGAAAAACAAGCCATCACTGTAAAGCACGCACCATCTCCATCTTCGTGATTTTAGATTGTGTATTTTCTTGAAAAACTTTTTCTCCACATCATACCACTCAAGACTCTCAAAATCTATATCCAGTAGAATTTTCCCTTCTCTGTGATCTAGAGGAGTAATGATAAACCCTGAGCCAAGGTTAAACCTGCTCAGATCAATACTGTACTCCTTAACCCACATATAATTCTTAGAATCTATCAACACCCAAATATTCATATCAGATTCATCTTGAGGTGAACCAACCAAACACAACTTTCCCTTCAATTCCACCAAAATCTAATCTCCCTTAGAATCAAACAACCTTCCGGCAACACCACTGTATCAAACTCCTCTTTCTCCAAATCAAATGATAGAATTACATCAATCTTTCCTTTATCACCATTCACAATATTCGAGCCAATAAAAAAACAATTTAAACCAAAACACCCCATCGACGAAAATCCTTCGGGTATTTTGCATCAACAACCTTACAAGAAGGATCTTTCAAACAACAACCATCAATCCACTTAAAAGACCTCACACCCAACTTCATAATTAAACGAGAAGTATTAACCAAACATACTCATTCCTCTCCTTTATATACCCAAAAGCACTACCGTTCCAACTATCGCCAATACTAGAATTAGGTAACTTAACCAATTTTTGTGTAGTTGGATTACATACATAAGACCCTTTGGCACCAACAAAGCAAATCAACTCCCCTTTACAAGGCAAGAAATAGACACAACCATCCAAAGTGAATGTAAAGTCAAAAGCGTGATTCCCATCAAAATTAAGTGATGATATACTTACTATAGTAGTATAGGTACCCTGTTTGGGTATCCTGAATATAAAATCATTGACGAGAAATAAGTTGGGATTTTGAGATGAACGTTCTATGTGAAGGGACTTGAAAAATGGGTCATTGATTATGCTACTCTATTCTTTGCAGACACACCTTAACTTGCCGTATGTCTCTGCAGGTAGGCTTGAGAAGATGTCCATGATAACATCTTTTGACATTTATAAAATTAATTCCACACATTATAAAAGTAGGATTATGTAAAATATTTTGAGACATTTACAAAAAAAAAAAAAAAAATTGAGACGGGAGGACATAAATAAATAAAATAATATTTAGTAATCTCTTTATCTCTTAAGAGTTGATAACAATTTCAATTTGAATAAACTGTATAATCTTATTAGATAAACTTACTTTTTACTACTCCCTTCGTTCCAATTTATGTGAATTTGTTTGACTGGGTTACGGAGTTTAAGAAAAAAATGAAGACTTTTGGAATTTGTGGTCCTAAACAAGTCAAAAAAGGATACAGAGTATTTGTGTGGTTATAAAAGCTTCTCATTATGGATAGAATTGGAAGTTTAAGCAAATTTGTTTTCAAATTTAGAAAGGGGTCATTCTTTTTGGAACGGACCAAAAAGGAAATAGGTTCACATAAACTGGAACGGAGGGAGTATTATTTTTACGGCTACCCATTTCCCTTCATTCGCTTAACGATATGTATACTAGTCTTACTAGCAATATGATTCGCTTAGAGATTCTTAAAACTTTACAATAATTTTCTCCTTAGCTTTTTGTATGACCAAGTTCCATACTTTCCTTCATCTACAGTTTTTCATAGAAATTAATTTGTCTGATTAAGATTAATGGTAGATATATTTCCTTAAAGCAAGAAGCTAGATTCCGACTAGTCAAAAATTTATTAAGATTTGTTCACCCGCCTATCCAATTTGACATAAATCAATAATCTTGAAGCAGATATCTGTATAGCAAGAATGAAAAAAGCAGCCAAAATCAGAACATCAAATAGTTTCAAGATTTTCTTCCCAGTTACAACAAATCCTGATGGTGTAATCAGGTCACATCACTATGTTTCATAACCATAGCAATCTACGATACCTAAAGTCACACGCCTGTTACCATCTCTATTAGTAGCCCAGTAAGCAAAAAAGAAAATTACCTTTTGATGAATATTGTACTTCAAGATAACCACACTAACTTTTTTTCAGCTTGACGCTTGAGAAACAAATAGGACTATGCAATGCATTCTACCTCAGACCTCGTCTAGAAATGACTCAGTCACTCAACGCAGATATGCAAGCACATTATTTGGAAGCAACAATTTGTCAAATTCAGAGATCCACTCTCTCTAGTTGGGTAATAAAAGATTTCCCAGCAAATAGTCGATAATACTAGCCGTCCCCCTTTTTGACTCCCATCCAAACTCAAGAAAAACAATCAACGTCAACAACAGAAGAAAATAGTAGGAGTAATCAAATTTAGAGGGTATTTTAATCAGAAGCATCTTATTTTCATATAAGTAGATTTTCTTAAGGATATAATTTCAACAAATATGCATCCACTATCCAGGTACTTCATCCACCCATTGATGCATTCAATATTCATAGACTGGAATGAAGTTAGTTAACTTTGAGATGTCAAATTGTACGACATCCGAATTAACTGAGCATAGAACATAATGTTTGATATCTAAGCCTAAAAAGGACAACCGCACGAAGCATCTTGTGCTCACGCAGTATCGGGAGAAGGACCTATGACACAAGTATCAATGGTTGATTCCATGACTGGAACTTATGACCTATTGATCACACCGAGACAACTTTATAAGGCTAATAAGCATTATTACTTTTCTTTCGTATGATATCTAAGCCTAATAAACATTATTACTTTAGCAAGAAAAGAGCTAAGTCGGAGAAGAACAATGAGAATATTCATGTCACTAAGCAAGAAGGAAAATAATTCTCAGTCCACGTTTAACTAGAATCCCCTCATCAAACGGCTTCGACATAACACAATAAGAACAATAATCATAAAACAACCCTAACATGAATGTACTTCCTACATCATTGTAAATTTAATAGTTCAACTAAATGAGTTGAAATACATCCCAAAGACCACAAGATAACTCCGCAAAATGAAAGATCAGTGTTTGGTTAATTAAAAAGTTTAACTAATTTACTCTAACCAAAAGGTGAAACACTACGGCTTACGAAGCAACCATAAACAGCAGGTGAAAACATTATGCACCTGGATATTGATTTCCCAAGGAAAATAAGCCATCAGTGTTAAGTACAGACCAGCTCCATGGTACTGACCTTAGATTGTCTACTCTCTCGAAGCACTTGTTGTCCACATCATACCACTCAAGAATCTCAGAATCGACATCCATTAGAATTTTCCCTTCCTTGTGATCTAGAATACTGATAAACCTCACACCAAAGTTAAACCCGGCTAGGTCAATAGTGTACTCCTTAGCCCACATATAATTCTTGGAATCCTTCAACACCCAAATATCCATGGTAGATATATCTTCAGGTGAGCCAAACAACCACAACATCCCCATCAATTCCGCCAAAGACCAAAGTCCGCCATCATCAAAGGTATCCTTTGGTGGTATCACTGTACCAAAGTCCTCTTTTTCCAAATCAAATGAAATGATTACTTCAATGCTATCATACTTGTTCCTGTGCCGAATCCAATAAAAACTATTTTCAACCAGAACGCCACACCACCTTAGCATATATGGGCATTTTGCATCAACAACCTTCCAAGAAAGATTTTTCAAACAACAACCATCAGTCCACCTCATGACTTCACACACAGTATCATTTTTAAAAAAACGAGAATTAACCAATACATACTCATTCTTCTCCTTTATATATCCAAACGCAATACCGTCCAAAGTAGCACGAGAACTAGTAGGAGTATTAGGTAAGTTAACCAATTCTTGAGTACTTGGGTTACATACATAAAACCCTTTGCCTTTGGAACCAAGAAAGCAAATCAACTCCCATTTAGAAGGCATGAAATAGACATAACTATCCAAAGTGAATGTAAAGTCAAAATTATGATTCCCATCAAGATCAAATGATGACATACTTACTCTAGTAGTAGAGGTACTGCAGCATTTTTGTTCGAGAAAAAGCAAACTGGGTTTAAGAGATGAGCCTGCTCTGTGAAGGGATTTGAAAAACGGGTCAGAGATTAAGCTTCTCCATTGTTTGCAAACGCATCTTAACCTGCACAATGTCTTTGCGCGTAGCCTTGAGAAGATGTCCATCATCACATCTTTTGACAGCATTATCATCTCTGCTCCGGAAGAAGTTGTTGTTGATTTTGATAAATTTAGGGTTTCCTTCATTTCTCTGTTCTTATGTTTTGTACTGTGCCCTTTCTGTCTCAATTTCAATTCAAGAAACTCAGGGCTAGTGAGTTACAAACGAAGCGCCCTTCCTTCTTCCTCTTAATCACCTTTTGCCAACTAATAAAGTGACATTTTTGCTTTTTATTTTCCATAGTAATAGTAATAGTAATAGTAATACCCAAAGAAAGTGTCTTTGTATTTGGTCTTTGCATAACATGATTAGGGATAACAACTAAAGTTTGCCATATTCAAGAAGCTTCTTTTCCATCCCCTTAATCTACTTTTTCAACAATCAAGATATTTTCCAAAGCAATTAGCTTGTTTCATTGTTAAACAATCTAAGATATAAGTAGTCTTTATCAACCTTTGAGGCATTATTCGAGAAAATTATTCTAAATTTTATTAGAGTTAAATGATGAGTTGATTATTCGGATAGATATTTAACTTTGGATAATTAGTCATCAAAGTCATATACTAACTTCCATGAACCTATTTTAATTGGGCATGAAGATTAATAAAAAAATTAAAAAGTTTCAGAACTTGTAGGGTAAAATAATTCATAATATTCATATGGTTAAAATGGAATATTTAAAATTGTATTATTTTCAAATTTAAAAAGCGGTCATCTTTTTTAAACGGACTAAAAAGGAAGTTCATTCTTTTTTAAACAGATATAGTATTTTTCTTTTCTGTCAAAAGCCAATTACTTTAATCTTATATTTTTTGATGAGTTATAATGACGTGGTAAAAATTAATTTTAAGAAAATAATTAAAACACTAATTTAGAACTTGAACTATTTTAAAATCCAACCCATACGTTTATCCAATACATGACTCAACCCACATATAGGGGTCGACTTTAACCGCTTCGCTGCTCTATATGCAATTGAAGTTAAGGAAGATTTTTGCACTTTTGAATAATGAATTATATGTTGTGAAATACATATTATATGGACGTCTACTAATCAAATATAATTTTCACTATTCTTCTCCATTACGTAAATAATCCCCACTATTTCTCATCATTATAGTTGTAACTCTCACACCTCCATAACCTCTTCATGTTCTCAATAGTTAATATCATATTCATGACATCCCTTTGTATTACCTCAATGTCATCGTATAAATAGAGGGTTTGGGCATCACATTATATACACTTGGGAAACACTCGAAGAAATAAGAATTTATCCTCTCTTTCTTTATACATTCTTGTCTATTTGCTTTCTTCATATTATTATTTAGAGCTAAGTTTTCTTGACATTATATCATTAGATTTTTCTGTTCTTATCTCAGTTGTTGTGTTACATCAAATTAAAAGTTAAAATAAATTGTATTATCTGTGTTTTCTTCATTGTCATGCCCTCTGTCTGTTGAGTTGGTGCACCACTTAGGCACATGTATAAGAATTTAGTTCTTATATCTGCTTCATCGTAAAACAACTGAAATAGTAAAGTGCGGAATTAAATACACTGTAGATTTTTATGTGAAAAACCTCCTTACTCAAGGGAATAAAAATGTAATGATCCGACCGGTCGTTTCGAGTAATTGCACTTTATTCGGTTGTTTGAGGGCATGAGTAGCTCCGTATGATGTATTATGACTTATGTGAATCGTCGGTTTTGGTTTTCAGGTTATCCGGATCTGATTTGGAAGAATGATTCTCAACTAGAAGCTTTAAATTTGAAAGGTTTGATCAAGTTTTGACTTTTAGTATTTGACCGAATTAGATTTTTGATGGTTCCGTTGGGTGATTTTGGACTTAGGAGCACGTCCGGATTGCGATTTGGAGGTCCGTGGTAGAATTTGGCTTGAAATGGCGAAAGTTGGAATTTTGGAAAGTTGGGGCGGGAGTACACTTTTTGATATCGGGGTTGGATTCCGATTCCAGAAGTTGGAGCAGGTCCGTAATGTCAAATATGACCCGCATGCAAAATTTGAGGTCAATCGGATGTGATTTGATAGGTTTCGGCATCAGTTGTGGAAGTTGAAGTTTCAAAGTTCAATGATTTCGAATTGAGGTGTGATTCGTTGTTTCGATGTTGTTATGTGTATTTTGAGGCTTCGAGTAGGTCCGCATGATGTTATGTGACTTGTTGGTATGTTTGGACGGGGTCCCGAGGGGCTCGGGTAAGCTTCGGACGAAGTTCGGATCATTTCATTTCATGTTGCATAGCTGAAGGTTTCTAGTTCTGGTATAACCGCACCTGCGGTTTGTATGCGCAGGTGCGGTGGTCGCAGAAGCGACGAAGTGGTCGCAGGAGCAGAAATAGTGCTGGGTGAGGAAGATCGCAGAAGGGGAGATTTGAGCGCATATGCGGATGCGTAGGTGCGAAGTGATAGAGCGCAGAAGCGGGATTTTTCGCAGGTGCGGGTGGTTTCTCACACCTGCGATGTCGCAGAAGCGGGTGTGGTGACCGCAGGTGCAAAGGTTGAGCTCTCAGTTCATTCCGCAGAAGCGACACCGCAGCTGCGGTTAAGTGTCTGCGGAATAGGAAGTGCTGGACAGAATGTTAAATACAAGGGTTCGCGATTTTGTCTTCATTTTTACATTTCCAAGTGCGGATTGGGGCGATTTTGGAGAAATTTTCATCGCAAGAATTGGGGTAAATTTCTACACTCGGTCTTGGTTATATTTCATGAATCTAATTTCGATTTTAGCTTTTGGTTGGTGAATTGAAAGAGAAAATTGGGGGTTTTGGCCTAAAGTTTAATAACACGAATTTTTGAGTTTTGAACACTGAGTTGGAGTCGAATTTGAGTGAAACTAGTATGGTTGGATTCGTAATTGAATGGGTTGTCGGATTTTTGTGAGTTTTGTCGAGTTTCGAGGCGTGGGCCTGGGTGTGTTTTTGGCCGGAATTGGGATTTGATGTAGAATTCAATCTTTATCAATTGTAATTGCTTCATTGGGCTTTATCTAATGTATTTGAGTTGTTTTTGGCTAGTTTTGAGCTGCTCGGATGTCACTACGCGCGTGATGGCAGTCCTGGAGCATCATTTGGCTTGCTCAGAGTCAGAATTGGCTTATTTCAGATAAGTAATTCTTCTAAACTTAGTGCTGAGGGTATGAAACCTCAAATTATGTGTTATGTGATTGGCGTTGAGGTGACGCACATGCTAGGTGATGGGCGTATGGGCGTGCACCCGGTGAATTATGATCCTGTTGTCTTTATGGCATTGTAAAGTGGCCCTACTTTATTGATATCTATGTTTTCACCATGTGATTAAGTAATTGAGCTGTACATCATGCTAGATACCCTATTTAGGCTTTATGCTAATATTTGGGACCCATAGTAATCGTTTCTTGCTGTCATCTCGTTGATTTCATTGATATTCTGTACTTAGTCATATTCATGCATTTCATATCATGTCTCAGTCTCAGTTGTTATTTATTGGCATATCATATAATTGTTCCGGACTAGTTTCATGACATTGTGACTCCGCGGGTGAGACTGGAGAGTGATGACTGAGTGAGGCCGAGAGCCTGATTATGAGTAACAGTTATGAGATCGGGTTGCACGCCGCAGCATGTGTTATTGATTTATGACTGATTGTGGTCGTTATCCTGATTGATTTATGCCATGATTGGCTTGTTATAGCGCTTGGACTGAAGGAGCCCCTCCGGAGTCTGCACACCCCCCAGTGAACGCGGTTGATTATATTTAGGGATGGATCTTCCCTTGGTATGGAGATGGATCTTCTCCATGAGGCTGGATTGGCATGTTTCCTCGGTACTGGGCGACTTATGGTCAGTGATGTATATATTCCGGGATGGATCTTCCCTGGGCCGTATGAGTCATATACAGTACCGAGTGGTTGAGCATTTGTATATATACCTGGAGATGGATCTTCTCCATGGAGCAGGAATGGCCTTTCCTCGGTACTGGGTGACTTATAGTCAGTGATGTATATATTCCAGGATGGATCTTCCTTGAGCTGTATGGGCCATATACAGTACGGAGTGGTTGATTATGATGATTGGAAGGTATGATACAGTGAGGTTAAGTACTCTGAGAGTGTGAGTACATGGTTCGTCTCTGAGGTACATGGCACTGGAATGCATATACGGCATACATGCATAGAGAAGCATTTTTCCTTATATTGTATTGTATCACGTCATTCATGACTTTTTTGCATGCATTGATATGTGATTATAGAGAAGTATTTCACACTTGTTATTTGAAAAAGAAAATGAAACACGTTTACCTATTGTGGAAAGAATTTTCAGGAAAAAGTTACAGTTTTCAAAACTTACTCATACTTTTAACGATTTCGGTAGAGGATTTGGGCTTTTATTAGTATACTTGAAAGGTGGAACTGTTTTCGGAAAAACTATGAAAAGGCTGAGCACTTTATTTCTGAGCTATTTCTTTACTTATTTGTTGTACACAGTATGAACTACTGTTGGTTGTTTGTGTTGGACCCGACCTATGTACCAGTTCGTCACTGCTTTCAACCTAAGATTAGGTTTGTTACTTTTTGAGTACATATGGTCAGTTGTACTCATACTGCACTTCCTGCATATTGCGTGCAGATCCCGGATGTTGATGTTGATGCGATCGATGGTTGATGGATTTGAAGGCATACTTGTGTTCCTGCTGCAGCTGCCTCTTATTCATGGTAGCCTTAGGTTATAAAATTTTGTTTATGTACTTTAAAACAGAAGATGTGTTTTCTTCATATCTTCTTTGTAAACTCTATTCTTAGAAGCTCATATTTGTATCACCAGTCCTTGGAAAATGTAATAGATCCAGATAATTTAGATTGTTTAATTGGCTTATTAGCAATATTGAATTTGGATAGTTATTAGTTGTCCTACCTAGCGGGTTGGGTTAGGTGCCATCACGACTAGTGAATTTTGGATCGTGATAAAAAAACCACTATCCACTTTTGGGATTTCTCACAAAAACTTCACTAAAACAACGTGCAATTTCACGTTACAAAACTCTTATAACCTAAGAGACTAAATCATAACCACTTGACTGCCTACAACCATTCTGATTGTAGCAAAATGCTCAAGCTAATTATAGCCTAAGACTTGAATTCTCTCACAGAGAAAAAATCTCTTGAAATGCTTCTTGTACAAGAAAATAAGATTACAACTCAATAAGCCTAATACAATGAACTAGACTAGGCACAATGAATTTGATACTGTGTCAAAGGGAACAAGTTCTCTAATCCGGTACTTCTACACATTACAGTCTTCAGAATTTTGAACTTGTTTTTCTTAACTTTTTCTCAATTTACTCTTAAGAAAT